CCTCCAAGTTTTTTGTGTGAGTCCATTTTATGCCTGTTTCCTCACTGCGCGCTGTCTGTCGCATTATCCAATCTACTGCAGTCAGGGAGATCATTGGCGATAGTAGATAGCCTTGCCTCTTTCTCGTCCTCACTTCGAAGGCTTGCGTAAGTTTCCCGTTGTGGATTACTTGGCTGACATGCAGCATTGTCGTACAACTTTTGAATGAGATGTGTAATTGTCGTCGGCACCCCATAGTAGCGATTTAGTTGCCAAATCACTTTTTCGATCGTCGCTGTCGAAAGCCTTTTGAAAGTCGATGAAGTTAAGATAGAGGGGTGACTTCCATTCCAAACTCTGTTCAATATATATATGCCGAAGAAAATACAGATTGATGTTGGGACATGCGCTAAGAAGGACCTATTGAGGTACATCAATTAAGGAATGAGTGACGAGGTAGGTGACATTGATAAGATTGTGTGAAGAAGAGATGACATTTAGTTTATCGGAAATCGGGGAGCTAGCTAAAAAGAGGACTGCAGTGTGTGTGTGAAAGAGAGAGAACGTGTTGAAGTGGCGATATGTTTTGGAGAGTTAGTTGAATGATGGGTTCATTGTTTAATATATATTCATCAAAGTTTTATAAAAGTAGTAATAGTTGTTGTTGTTGGGGATCGGATAAACATGAAAATGATTGATTTAACACAGGGGGTCAACTGATTGATCTCTATCACATAGAGAGTACTCTTGCGATAGCAAACTACTATTTTTGATTGGACACTAGTGTAATGTGTCTAGTACTTTCTACAGTGCAGAGTGAACTCTATCATCAGTCAAGCTTGCAATGTGGTCCCATGCCACCACTAGATGGCTCCCCATCATGGTGCACTGTGAATTGTTGGTATTAGGATGGTTTGAGGCAGTCGGCCACAAGAAGCCTTGTCTGACCCAGGGTTTCGTGCTATTTGACACTCATCAGCAAGGTGTATCTGCAATTACCTCGAAAGAACTCATATCCCTTATGAAGTTCGAACTCGCGTCACCCAGTGCCGCCTGTAGTCTCAGAGACGTTACCACTGAGCTATACAAGCTGACTCGCGATTGACCTCCTTTATGACTGTATTGGATATATTTGATTAGGCACACTAGTCATTAACTAGTGTAATGTGTCTAGTCGTATCTTGGGTGCAGACGAATCTCAGAAGAGGTGGACATGAATTCCTTCAAGGTGATTGCAGAAACGCCTCGCTGGCTGGCTGGCTGACTGTTAAGTGCCAACTAGCACGAAACCTCTAGGTCGCAGCAATTTTAATTAATTTAATTTATGATTACAGCTTGATTCCACACCGTATTTTTGGGACAAGTGTGGAATTTTCAGCGTGGATATCGGTAGCCCGAAATTCGCAGGTCGATTACCTCCAACCATCTAAAAACTACTATTATAAGCAACAACTACAACAAACTCTCACGCAAATAACGTCGTTACGATGTAAATTAGATGTAGATATGTGTACAATAAAATAAATAAATCAATGTAGATAAAAAACAAACAAATATTCTACAAAGATTAACTCAAAATGGGTATGTGACAATCACAACCTAAATGAGTTAAGACAAAGAGAGACAGAGAGAAATGACAAGCGAAGAAAGAAATAAGAGGTGAAGAGAAGACAAGATGTAGGTGTTACGCTCGTTGTGCACACACACACACACCACATGGTACTGACAATCAACTGACGTAAAGATATCTGCAGTATGCGCGTATAGATTTGAAAATAATCGTGAAGATTGAAGGAGTTAGTGGTGGAGAAACGATGACGACGACGACGTAAAGGAACACTTTATGACGTCATATCTTCAAAAAGTAACAACAATTTCAGAATAGATTAGATTTGTAGGTATACTAATTAAGAAGAAGAAATAGAAGGACAATGACAAAGAGTATAACGAGAAAGGTGATTTACTCCTTCTAAAATTATAGTAACTGAATCATTAAAAGCGTTAATTTAAGTTGTGTTTTTTTTTAATTATTGATGTTCTTGTTATGTACTGGTCGAGAATTTAATAGTCCTGACGCAAGAAAGACTGAAATCAGAAGACCACTAGGTTTGCGATGATACTTCTATTTTCCAAAACATCAGGAGAATCAATGTCACACAAGAGTGTGAGAGCAAAATATATGAATGTCCGAACAAGTGTGTGAGCGAATTTTCAAAATGAACAAATCAATAGACAGTCTTAACATGATTGGCTAATTATAATGGAATATCGATCCATATATACATAGCACATCTGATGTCTATGGTCGGCCTGCAAAATTTGGGCTACCGATATCACATGCTGAAAATTCCATACCTGTACCAAAAATACAGTGTGGAATGAAGCTGTAATAAAAAATTATATATATTGAATGAATAGTAATCATTAAACGGTGTTACACGGGGCATCCATCTATCTCTCTGAAGTGTGACGAAATACCTCTAAGTTTTTGATTAAAGTGTTAAGAAAGTAATAAAAACCATATTCTGCGTGTATGTATCCATGTAGGCCTTCTAATCGTAGACGGAACTGTGTGTCCCTAAACTCCGACGCAAATCTAACTCGAGCCAACTCTAATACATCTGCCTGATTAGGTGTTAATCTAACCTTAACCTGTTGTCCTCAGGCCTAAACCTTAATTTTCCCAAACTTAGTAGATATTCAGGTTTATAATATCATAACACTTCACTAAGCCTATTTTTGTCATATAATTTTCACCATTCCAATAACCTGCTCACTATAATAAGTACAATTGCAAGAATTGAATTTTTACGAAGGCCATAGTGGGTACGATGGATGAATGTGTATATCTTTGGAATACATAGTGTACTGTGTGCTTGAACTTTTGGATTACTAGTGCTTCAGCTAGTCCCAGATGCGTTGATGATTTCGTGGAAAAGAAAATTTTCTTCGCTGAAACCGTCTTTATAGTAACTCTAAAAGTTCTACTACAGTATCAGCTGAAATGGCAGTTGAATGAGTTTGTAGTCAATGAGAATGGCTCATTTTCTATACACCTGTAATTCATTGTAACCCTGTATAATTTCTAATACTCATGTAAATCTATATTCGCACCTTCAAACTCCCATCTCAAGTTGAAAATTATTATTTCAATTTTGGTTTCCATGCTCATTTTTTCACACACTTTTTATCCGTTCTAATCCTGTGTAACTTTTGTTTCTAAGCCTTTCCGCGTAAACCATATCTAGTTGAAAATAATTATCATCTTTTATTTGCCATCGTAATTATGTGGAATCAAGTAAATTGAAAACTTGTATTATGTAAAATTATTTATATAAATGCGCTTGTAGAACTGGTTTTGAAAATGAAATCGCCAAAAAGACCAGTTGTCTTTGTTGTTGAACTTCATGTTCTCTTCTTTCTAATATCCATATAAAGAAGACGTAGTTTATCTGAAACGTGTAGTGTAATGGATTAGCGCAACACATTTCGGACATTCTGATCACATACGTACGTACATGTCATACACAGTTTATATAGAAGGCAAAAAGGCATGAATAATTACACTACAGGTCAGATTGTGTACAGGTCAAGGTCACAAATAATGAGTAGGGAGACGTAAAAGGTGTGGGTGATAAATATTTGTTCTAATGAAAATAGCTTTTTGACACATAAGACAGGTTTAAGGCTTTTTATATGGCTAAAGCTTCAATTAATTTAAGTATGTGGCCCAATCTTGTTTTTTGGATATATCGACTTAAAAGGCATTGTTGCATCCCACTCCTTGTGATTTTATAATATCCAACTAAATTCTGTTTTTCTCCCTTATTACTAGTCTTTTTGCCTCACTCACACTTCTGTTTATTCTCTCTCTACTCTTTTCTTTTGCTTTTTGTGGTCTGTCTGTCTGTCTGGATTCAACATAGAACTTGTCACCGAAGTGCACCAGTTCAACTTGCCACGTTCCAAATAGCACACAAAGGTAGACAAGAAGATGACGAGGGAAGACAATCAATAGAGTTCGACAAGTATAAGAGTGAAACAGAATGGGTAATGGTAGAGAGGAATATGAAAGATTACAGAGACTGAATACATCTGCGCTGGCCACTGACAACGATCACTTTGAGCCATGTCACTCACCTATTGTCTCCAGCCATTGATTCCTAGAGTCAGTCCCGAGGGCCCCAACCCGGAAGTCTGCATCTCCTACCCTACCTGACTCAGTTTAACTGTCAAGGATTTCATGGATTGATGAGGCCATGTTTTTGTTTGGCCACCACTTACTCTTTCCAACCTGCACAATCCGAAATGCTTTTTGTGGTACATGGAAGGGAGTGTGGCAACTCGAGCAGTTTCAAATCTGTGCCAAGTTCTACGATGAAATCAGTCAGTCCGTCAGTCAGGATAGGAATTCAGTTAGACGAGAGGAAGAAGAAGAAGAAGCAGAAATTAACTGTACACATCAGAGTTGTTTCATGTAAAAAGTTATATCCTCATATTTCTCCTTGATGCCTCTACAATACCGTCGTGTGTTTGCTTGGGAGAGGGTTGTGTTTTCCTCCTAAACCGTTTTGTAAGTAGCCTGTTAGCAGTCTGACTGTTAGCATGCGATTTCTCACATCACTCTTTCAATCTTAAAATTATTTATGATGAATTGGCAGAAGTTAGAATTCATGCTGTGGCCATTGGATCGGGTCCCAGTGGCTCAATGTTCTACGAGCTAGCTGGCCTTGTAACCAGAAGGTCCTGGGTTCGAATCTCGATGGGTGCGTACTGCTAAAGAGTCCTAAACTAAGACGAAACAGCTGTCCAGTATTCCCTGACTGGTTTTCCGATAGTTCTCTAACCAATGTCAGCTCATGATGAAATCCTGTAACCAATCAACCAAATCCCTACAAACCAATACTTGGATATTTATAATCTATGATGGAGTCTAAACTTAAACTTTATATGTATATATACCAGTGTTGCTTTCCCTAATTCGCAGTCCTTGTGTTTTTTTTTTTGGTTTTTGATTTTAGATGCCTACCTGACGATTTACCCCTTTTGCTATCCATCGCCTCGTCATGTTCAATTCAAGCTGCAAATATTTTACATACTAGTCATTTTGATTGGTTGAATTTGTGATGACTTCTTACATAATATTTCCCTTTTTTCGCTTTTATTCACTACAACTAACTCACTCCCTCTCCCTCTCTGTGCTGGTGCTTTTCTGCCGTCAAATTCAACTATGTGCTCTGTTGATGAATGATACGAGAGGGGGGAGAGTGATGTGTGTATGTGTGTGACCTGCAGTTTTCTACTTCGATTTTCCTACCCGTCTGCATACATACACACATGCCTAATCGATAGTGCTTGCTTTATTGTGTGTGCGGGGTGTTTTAAGGCGGTTGCCGCCCCTCTGCATGTGTGTTTTACCTTTCCTTCACCCCCGAACCTGCGCACCCACCACCACCATCCAACCAACTTCTAGACCTATTTTGATCGAATTCATTCAATTAATTATGGTATGTAAATTCTGTCACTGATGATGATGACAATGTTAATGATGACGTCAGTATCCAACTCGCACACACACACCCGCCCCATCTGCTACCACCACCCCATTCTCTATTAAAATGATGACTAATTACATTTTGTAATAAATACTTCCTTCAGATTACATCATTGTATCATCTCCAGTCTTCACAACCACACACACCGATATATGTATGCATATGTTGTTCCTTGTGTATGTGTGCGTGTGTCTGTGGATTCTTTCAGATTTTCAACTCTCCACTGTACAGATATCTCCCCTTCCCCCGCAAAACCCCAACTCTTCTCCCTGTTATTTCCTTTATCTTCCTGAAAGCAACTCTTGTTTCTCTCTCCTTGTGTATGCGTGTGTGTGTGTGTTTGTGTGTGTAAACCAGATTTTCTCAATAATAATCTACAGATTTTTATTTACTTACACTACTACTACTACTACTACTCCATGTGCCTCTCATCTCTCGTCCTCCTGCTCCTCCTCCTCCGACACTGGAAATGATAATCTATTTTCTTTATTTATATGATTCTAAATACATATATGCATATATACACACACACACACAAACACACTGATTTCTTTTCTTTGAATTGGTTACAGGTCCTTATTTTTATCCGGCTGTTTGCCTGTTTATTTGCTTGTGTGTTTTTGTCAAATTCTAATCTTTATTTATTATTCTTTAGTCGTCTGATGAATTGCACCCAGATGAAGAATTATACTCCCTTATTATTATTATTATTATTGTGTGTGTGTGTGTGAATGTCTTCTGTTCATTTGCTAATAATTACATATATAATGATATATATATATATATCTACTTATATATTATATAATATATAATACATAATTGATTAATAAACATGAACATGGTGTTGGGATTTGGTTTTGTCTACAGACAGTTAGTTTAGGCCAGCCAGCCATGTAGAAGAAGATGTAGACTGGCTTCCTGGTTTTTTTTTATTTGGTCATATTTCCAGCAAAATTACTGCCCGTGCTCACACCAACTGTATTGGTGTCCCATTAGGGCTTGCCCCCAGATGTCTTCCCTGCCTGCATTTAGCAGCAAGGAACTCTGTAAACGAACCTACCAAGTATATATGACATGAAAAGATTAGCTGTCTTCGATCATAGTTGCGCCTGCGTTCTATCTCCCGTGTGAAGTAGTATAATAATAAGGTGAGCAATATTGAGGTCATGCTGTAACAACAGAAGACAAGGGCTAGGCAACAGATCGTTTATTAAGGAAATCAACACGTATTTATATATTTTCATGTACATTATTATGGCTTATTCAAGCAAACAAACACTTTTCTGGTTGGTTGTTCCTCACTGAAAGTTGACCTTGCATCTCTTTGTGGCTGTTTCTTGAATATCAGATCATGTATATGTTAACAATATCCGCCTGCGCAAAGCCTTTGTTCTCATTTTTCTCACGACCAATATTGGGGACATAAACATTGACGTAAATTACTGCCTACCAACTTCGACTAGCAGCCAGCTCTCACCACGATGCTACGGTCGACTGCTAGGTAAGTGGGAGGGGAAATCAATCGACGAGGCTGTGAAATTACATCGACTGGGATGATTAGCATATGTGTTACATATGCCTAGTCATCGCCTTCCTAAAGTGGCAATGTCAGCTGACATAGGAACAGGCTGGAAAAGATCTGGCGGTGGTGAAACCACAACATGACTTCATCCGTCGATGAAATCCACAACAGTTAGTTAAAGCCACGTAGGAAGATGTAGACTGACTTCATAGTTGGGTTCCTTGGGGCGGTAAAAACCAATGATGGCTGGAGACAATTGGTGGTATATGGCTCAAATTGGTCGTTCTCAATGTCTGGCTGGTGCAGATGCATTCACACCTTGTGACTTATAATTTCCGATGAAACTTTATTGTTCGTTCCTTTGTCTCACATCTCTGTTTACTGTCTGTATTATGCATTTCTTCTGTTGCTTTGTGTGCTACATGAAGTAGTGGAGTGTGGCGACTTGATTTGGTACACATCGGTGCAAAGTTCTATGTCAAAACAGACAGGCAGACCTTAGGAATGGGCGATTTCCATCTGATTGAGACGTGGGTAAAGCAGTGCTGTGGTGAGAGTTAACTGAAAACCGTCAATTGTGATTTTTACTACTGTACCTTGTGCAAAGTTTCATGTAATAATTTCGCCAGCCATTTGGAGCTTATATAAAGTAAATATGTGTGTTGAATGAGCCATATTCGCATACAGAAATAAATTAGAGTGTTCTATTATGTAAGGACTTTCTGTTACTTCCAAGATATGAAAAAGATGTGGACATTGGCGATGTCTTTACTTCTGTTTTCGCAGTTCAAAATTATTTTCTGAGCTGCAGGACAATTCCTCGGACATCAAAATCATACAGATTCGCCTCCGCTAGTATCTCCACAATAAATTTCAATAGCATGGATGTATTTTGTACCAGTGGATTTCATGGATATAGAACCATTAATGAAGTCATGTCCGAGTACACTACAAGTAACAGCTTACACTTTTTCCTGGGAACTCAAAGTACCTAAGCTCTGGCTATCATTAATATTAATTAATAATCATACCTTAAGCAAAGGAGGAATTGAGGCTATGTTCGAACGGTTCTACAAGAATGAGCTTGACTATGTGAATGGTCACGTGTCCATGTCTGTTGAAGATCGTAAGGCTCTAAGTAGTGTCGACAACAAATTTTACCAAATAATAGAAAACTGGCGATGAGTAGACTCGATTGGTTGAGGAAACGCCTCTGTCAAGCAAGACTCAGACCTGCACAAAGAGCATATTAATGTAATGTCTCAGTATATTGGAAGAGATTACGCTGAAATGGTCGAAGAGGATCACGTTAATGGACAGGTTTGGTAATTGCCACACTATGCGGTTTTCCATCCGAAGAAGCCCAATAAATTAAGGATTGTGTTTGACTGTTCGGCGGAGTACGCAGGAATACCTCTGAACAAAAATCTGTTTTCTGATCCGGATCTAGTAAATAATTTGGTGGATGTCTTTATGAGATTTCAGCAGCGACCAATAGGCATCACTGTAGATATAGAAGATATGTGTTTCATCAAGTGATCGTTCCTTCGCTCTGCAGAAACGCTCTTAGGTTTTTATGGTGGGTCGGCTTCGACGTGAAAACGGGACCAGCAGTTTACAGAATGAAAGTACATATTTTCGGAGAAACATACTCGCCGAGTTGTGCGACCTTTGCCTTGAAAGGGACTATCGCAGACAACGCTGATAAGTTCGACGAGTGTGTTATTCAAGTAGCTAGAGAACAGTTTTATGTAGAAGATTTGCGTGCTAGTGTTAATACGTTAGATGAGAGCAAGCTGATTTATACTCAGCTGAAACAGATCAGAAAACTAGGAGGATTTAATCTGACAAAAAATGGACTGATAACCGAGAATTAATGAAGTTCATCCCAGAAGAAAGCCATGCAGAGAGGAACATCGATATCCTTTTATCTAAAGAGAATAACGAGACGACGTTGGGTATAGAATGGAATGTGTTAAGTGATAGTACCTGAGGAGACTGCTGGGTGACATCACGCGTCAAGCCCTCGAGTGGAACCCGAAAAGGAGGTGGCGAGTGGGGCGTCAGTGCAAGGATGACATGGAGAAGAGGAGTTGAAACAGTATGGACTAACATGGATGCAGGTGAAAAGTACAGCAGCAGAAGACAGAAGAAAGTAGAGGGGTTCAGTTGAGGCCCCATGTACCACTAGGAACCCAAGGGAGCAATAATAATCTGTTTTCGAACTCGTGAGTTTAAAACAAGGACAACCACAAGGACTCTTTTGTCATATGTGGCTTCGATATTCAACCTGGTTGGAATTATAGCACTGATATTGCTACCTGCTAAATTAATTTTACAAGATATATGTAGAAGGGGATTAGAATGGGACGCAGACTTACCTGAAGACTGTCTAGCCACCTGGAATAGATTGTATAAGAATATTAATTATTTGCATAGAATTCGAATTCCACGATGCGTATAATGCCCATTTCTTGCGAAATGTTGAGCATTCATCTTCACTGTTTCTCAGACCCTTTAAGGATTCGCATACGGTGCTGCAGTATATATCCGTGTAGAAAATGTCTCCCGCCAAGGTCATTACTCTTTACTGCTGGCAAAACCTAGAGTCGCACCATTGAAATCTGTTACTATACCTAGACTAGAGTTAGTAGCTGCTGTATTATGTCTCAGGGTTGGTAAACATCTGGAACAACAGTTTCGTGTACCGATTTCGTCTACGACTTATTTGACGGATTTATTCATTGTGCTTCATTCGATAAAAACACTACGAAAAGATTAGAGAGATTTGTAAGCAACAGGTTTGCAGTTATCCATGATTATCCAGATTAGTGGAGACCCATCAGTAGTAAACAGAATCCTGCTGATTGCGCCTCACGTGGACTTTCGTTAGATAATGATGTTAAGATTAACGAGTGGCTTTATGGACCAAAATTCTTATGGGACAGGGAAGAGAATTGATCTCATATGAATGAAGACGAAAGTGTTATCAGCAATAATGTGTTAGCGGACGAAACCTGTGGGTTGAATACACTACAGGAACAGGGTAAATAACTAGATAGACTCAGAGGATTCACTTCATGGTTTAAGATACTACGAGTTTTCGCCTTGTATCAGCATTTTATCCACAATTTGAAAATGCGAAAGGGCAGAAAACTGTCTATCGATTACAAACTATCGTTAGAGGATATCAGCATAGCCAAGTTGCGTATACTTAAGTTGGTGCGGAGCGCTACATTTCCCGATGAGAGATTTAGGCAGAAAGTGATCGTAGAAAAATTGCAAATGGCTATGAATTTGGAAAGGTCGGCATGGGGAACGAGTTGCTACGTCATATGCGGTCGTCCTGCAATGGTCGCTTACAATGATCATGCCTACCCTTTGATAGTAAATATCCAATTATATTACCTAGCAAGTACTTTGTCACTGATATGACAGTGATGCATTACCATCCTCAGAATGCTCATGCAGGTACTATGCATGTTCAAAATAGTCTTCAGGAAGAATTCTGGATTCTTAAAGGTTATTCTGGATTCAGGAGAATTTCAAGGCAATGTTACTTGTGCAAGGGACTTAATACTGCGCCATATTGTCAGATAATCGCTCCATTCCCAGAGTGCCGGTTAAAGGCTTATGCACGACCATTCAATTCTGTTGGTGTGTGTGGACTATTTTGAACCATTTTTTACGAAAAGAGGAAGAGTTGTTGAAAACTGTTATGGCTGTCTGTTTACGTGTTTATCAATAAGAGCAGTTCATATCGAAATGGCACATACCTTAGTCACCGACTCCTTTGTGTGCACTCTCTAGATTTTCTGAAAGAAGAGGACACCCGGAGCGCATATTTAGTGACAACGGTTCTAACTTCAACGGATCTGATGTTAGTTTGAAGCAAATTATTAGAAGCTGGAATAAGACTAAGATAGCAAATAATCTTCTAGAAAAAGAATGTGAATGGCATCTCAATCCAGCTAGAGCCAGTCATCGTGGAGGTGTATGGGAGCGCATTATTAGATCCGGTAGAAAGATCTTACGGACGCCACTGTTTCAGAGTGCTGACAGACGAAACATTGGAAACATTGTTGGTGGAGTCTCAAGGAATTTTAAACAGCCCAGCGTCGGAAAGCTTGACAGGTGACGGCGATGAATTAATAATAAAAATAATAATATATTCTCATTTTGTACATGAAGGACGCCACTTTACAGGCATCATCAACATGATTAACTATATATACGATTAGTAAGCATAAATAATAATAATTTAATAAAATACATATTTTTTCATACCTGTGTAGAACACACAAATTATACAGGCATGGATAAGTATTATTTAAATAACATAAATTTGGTATTTGGTTAAATTACATGGTTGCTGTCGTTTCTGTCTTTGGTTTGTGGGAACAATATGATAACTAGTCATTAACAGAGCTGTCAGTGTCCAGGCCTTACTACACTGGACCTCACGTGGTCCTCGGAAGACTTTCATTTACAATATGTAATATCCAACGCGAGAAACCAGAACTCACATTGGCGACTCGGTAGCACAGTGGTTAGGACTCTCGCCGACCATCCACATGGTCCGGGGTTCGAGCCCACGCCGGCGCACACCTGATATCTATGGTCGGCCTGCAAAATTTGGGCTACCGATATCCATGCTGAAAATTCCATACTTGTACCAAAGATACAGTGTGGAATCAAGCTGTAAATCAAAAATCAAAAAAAAATCAATCCTTTATTCTTGCGTCGATATGTAATCGACAATAAGGTTATCATGCACAAAATTTCTGATAGTCTTCTGTTTTCCACCGAACAGCGAACGATGAGAGGATGAATGCCGTATTGATGACTCCCGCGAAAAATATGGACTTGGGTTTGAACAAACAACCATGACTTGCTCGTTCAATCTTCAACCACATTAACACTCACACTGTTCCAGAAGGATGGTGAGACACTGGCACCGTAGGGCAAGAAGGGCGCCCCCAGGAAACCTGATCTCTCCGATCGTTCGCTCACTCTCCTCAAAATGGGAGAATGGGCGACTTCAGATCTCAAGGCCAGGTGGGAATATGACCTTAACCTGGTCAGCCCTCCTTCAGATAATTGATAACTGAAAAGAGTGTCGGGTGCAACTATACTCGCATTGTTCAGAATTGGCCAAAATCTGACTCTACATTGAATCAGTCAGTGCGCTTTCTTGAAGTCGTACCAAACTCAGAAACGGGGAGGGACGTTATGCTGAACAACTCCTAAACTCTTGGACAATCAAACATACATGTCTGGGCGGACTCATGCCTATCAGACAGCGTCAAAAGACAGTCTGCGGCCCTAGAATTAAGCTAACCGTGTCGAAACGGCAAGAAAACATCGCCTTTAAGGGTTTTTGAATTGTCAGAGTTCGAAGTTCTTTGATCCCGGAACCTCTTTGGATTGGCTGTGGAAGCACGAAACTGAGTCAACAGTTTGCTACACAAATGCCCGCAGCCTTTTAGACAAACGGACTGAGCTTTGTAATATGGTGGACCTTGGAAACCCGCATATAATTATCAACACAGATATATGCTCACACCCGATTATGAATTTAACCCACCGAACTTCATAGTGCATAGCGCGAACCGTCTACGTCTCAAAGGAGGTGGCGTGCTCACCTACCTCAAGAAGCCCGTGGCGATGTCTAGCACTGAATCTCTTGCAAATAAACATGGAAGGTGCAAATTTTTACTCTGCAGACTAAAATGCATAGATCAAGATATTGGTCTCACTACTATATGCCGCAGCCCTGACTGCAATGCAGACGAATTCCTGATAGAGAAGCTGGGCTCCTGGCCATCGAAATGTCGAAGTCTCACAGTTGGCGACTTCAACGCCCCAACAGTTGACTGGACAAGCCTCACAACGCCGTCTTCAGAATACTTTCTTGACTATGAACTGTTGAAATCTGGCTTTTTACCACCCCTGGTCCAGTATGTCATGAAGCCCACGTGCCATGGCTCACAGCACTCCTATTCAGCTCTGGACCTAGCGTTTTCTCGTGGCGAGGATGTGGACCACATTCAACATCTTCCTCGCTTAGGAAGTAGTGATTACGCAGTACTCACTTCCAAGTTCACAAAAGCAGTATAATGGTCCAAAACCCAAGCTGAACTAAGCGTTTAGAAAGCTGACATAAATACTGTCGTCTCAGCAGCCAACTCAGTGAACTGGTACATAAACCCAGAGTTACAAGCGGACGCCGCATGGGACCAGTTTCTGAAGGTTTTCTCCCGGATAACTAAATCTCTCATCTGTTGTCCTGTCCCAGAGTGTCGGAAACATCGTCCTTCATGGATAAACCAAGAGATTAGTAAGTTACTCATAAATGATGGAACTTATTTATCACACTTGAGACTACTGGGACCAGAAAGTTACACAATATCACTAGGAACAAAGCTACTGGAGTAATCCGCTGATCAAGGATGAAGTCAGAGACGCATCTGGCTCAAAACGCAACAGCATAACCCAAGAAAATTTCCTTGTACACGAACTTCAGGACATCCAATGAGGTCTCAAACCTGACTATTGGCAACGACACAATCGGAGAGAATCAGCATAAAGGAAGAGAAATGACAGACTGGTTCTCCAAAGTCTTTACAAAGGAGTCGTCACCACTCATAGGATCTGCTCTGGCTGCAGCAGAGAAACACGAGATAGATTCCGGTGACGTCAGCCATGACATCATGTCCAACTGTATATCTGAACTAAATGCAGTGAAGTCAATAGGTCCTGACGATCTACACCCAAGGCTTCTCAAGGAGTTACCACCTCACTTCGCCGACCCACTGACCACGATTTTCAAGCCATCTCTCATAAATAGGGATTAGGGAATTGGTCATAGGTGGGCTACAGAAAGCCACGATCAACTGGAAACTCTCTTCCTAGACAAAAGTATGTAGAGGAGTACAACAACACATGGAAGTTGGGCCTATCCTATTTATTTTGCAAATCAATGAGTTATCTGTGTTGACGTATTCCCCCAGAGTCCTATAGGCAGATAACTTGAAAATCTGAAGGGTAACAGTGATACGCGCACGTTGCAAGGGGACCTCAACAAATTGTTAGAGTGGTACAGAGAATGGATGCTCCCGAACAACGAAGCAAAATCCACAAACCTGCGTATCGTATACGCGAGCAACATTTCATACGAACTGAAGGGAATAAAATTTCCTCCAGTTCGAATTTATATGAATCTAGGAGTCATAATTGGTCGCTACTTAAAAGCTGCAGCACTCTGTGGGACACTGGCAACTGACAGAGCGTTTACTAGAATCATCGGAGATATGTCTACTTCTTTATGTACATCCGTGGTGAGGTTAAGACTAGAAGACTGTATCTAGGCAGTTAGCTCTTGTCTTAAAGTGAACTCACATATTCTGAAAAGGGTTCAAAGAAGGGAAATACCAGACGGTTTGAACCCCTTCTCCCTATCATACCGTAGATAGGGATCTCATTAAAAATGTCTAAAATTTTAAATAATCACTGCGGAACAGATCTATTTTCTCTTTTACTTTCCAACGGGTCGAAATACCTCAGAAGATACAGAAGGAGAGTTTAAATGCCAATAAGGGAATTGTATAGCTGTGGAGTGATGGTTCTGACAACGAGTCATAAACCCGCTAAACCAACTCCCAGACAAAGTGATATAAGGGGCCTCAATAGACTCATTCGAAAATGGTTTGAGCAAGCACCGAAATTCACCAGAAGAGAATTAACATAGTCTTAAAACCTTCTATTCTCAGTCAACAAGTCTGAACATTGAACATTGAGTTTTAACAGCAAAAATATAGAGTACGTCGCTACTTCGTAGTGGTGTGTATGCTAAACGTGTATTCTGTTCTTGTGTTATCTTCTTATCATTAGCTCTCAGGTATTAGTAAGTCATGCCGTCTTCCAGCACTACTTTAAGAAAAGTATATATTTTTTTGTTGAGTATTTGACTGAATGTATCGTGGACTTCAAAGTTGTGTAAATTGACGTTCTCAAAATTAACCCAAGTAAATAACTCGGAATAGTGGAATTTAAATTGTCTCAAATTGTAGGAGTGATTATTAAATCTTGTCCACATTTGTGGTTTGCAATTTACGTATTATATATGTGTAACTATGCGAATCAGTCATGGAGATTGACTCCATTCAATAATTTGTTAGTTGAATACGCTCATCTATTTTTGTATTATCACAATTCTCTCCTTCGTTGAAGGGGGTGCTTCTGCTCAGTATGTCGACTTCAATTTATAAACTTCATGTAAATGCCTACAAGGTTAAATCGATTTCACCATTAAGTATTAACCCAGCAAGCCAAAAAGTTTGAGTCCTTTGAAGAAATTTCGGGGCGAAAAACTGCAGAAATTGGGTTGCATTTCCTGTTTAAGTTAAGAAGACAGTCTCCAACGAATCCAAAAGCAGCCCCAAACTTTCGTCTATGCCGAAATTTGCGTAATTGACACTGAGCTTGTCTCAAGGTTCTTACAGTGAACTCTAAATATGCCCTTGACTTTCTACAGTGGGACAAAAGTACTTGCCGGTAGTACTGCAGTTCATCTTAAGACTGTGCCTGCACATGTGTTACTTGATGTGTCCAAAACTACTACTTACATACCCTTTCACATGCAAAATTATCTCCTGTCAACACAAAGAATTATGACATCAAAACCTAATGAACTATATAGGACACAAATTCACAGATAATCAAAAAATCTATTTACAATGGTTCTATCCAACCAATAGTTCAAACATCATGGTAGTCATTTCATGTCGGCGACCGAGTTAGTGCCTTCCGAATACTTACTCAACGTATTCGTTGTTTACATCCATGATGGTTTGAAAGTAAAGGGCAGGAAAGCCGTTAACATACCAGCGGAGACCCTTGTCGTCCTCTCAACTCAAACCTTCAACATATTGAGGCTGTTATAGGACCATTGTTGAGTAGATGTCTTAACGTTTTAAGTGGCAGTAAGTTTTGTGAGCCCTACCTTGCTGGTAGGAAATTTTAACGCTACCTGAAAACTGAAATGAAAACAAAATTCGCTTACGGATGACGCGACATTAAACATTCTCGTCTGACTGAACGGCCTTTTATAGTTGGTGGCCGTTCATGAGAACTTCATTCTATATGTCCTGTCTAGTGAAACGTTCATGATACAACTAACTGAGGTTTGGAAGCTGGAGTCAACCAAAGTGATAAAGTCAGAGGCGACATTGCGACGGTATTCCTCATCAAATTCAAAAGTAACAGAGTCCTTTTCTACCTACTATATGGCTGGAGACTGGCTTTCATAGCTCAACAGAACTCAGTCTCTTGACGTTCCGCTCCATGTTGTCGACCACTGTCACCCACGACAGCTTCGATTATACATGGCATCGAAGCATTCTGAAACATTTTCTGAAATCATCCGTGTCCTTTATCTTATGTACTTCGTTTCCTGTACACCTGCATGCAACAGTAGTAGTGAAAAGTGACTTATACTTCCATAGCACTTTGTGGTAACACATATGTAGTCGTTGGTGGATCCATAGACATAAATAAGCTGAAATGTTGCGTTGTTAGGATACTTTCACATGCATTTTACTTGTATTGAATTTCACTAGCTGCCGAAGACTAGGGACCTTGAACTAGAGCTCCATATCCGATAAAATGCATCCATGAACAGCCTGACGTTGATGTTTCACCTGATAATTTCTTCGTCGAATCATACTACTTCGCATATTATTATTATTATTTTATCCTTTAATTCCTAGAGCAACATAGGGCTTCAGCTGCGCACCTCCATTGCCTTGTGTTTTCTGCCAACTTTTTCACTCCGCTCCAAGTCTACCCACATGCTTTCATCTCCTCCTCACATGACCTCCTCCAAGTCACCCTTGCACTGACGACCAACTCGCCGCTTCCCTTTCGGGTTCAACTCGAGCAATGGTCTGTCTAGTGATGTCACTTGATGGTTTCCTCAGAGTATTGCCAATCCATCTCCATTTCTTCCTGCCTATTTGTTTCGCAACCGGTTCCTGGTTGGTTCGCTCCCAGAGATCTTTGTTGCTGATCTTTTCTGGCCATCTAATCTTGAGTATTGAGCGAAGACAACTGTTAATGAAGGTCTGAAGTTTGTTTGAGATGCTCTTTATGACGCGCCAAGTCTCTTATCCGTATAGTAGCACTGATTGACTTCACATTGGAGTTGAAAATCCGGATATTAGCTAGGAACTAAAACATACCGGTTCACCCATCACTAACCCTCAGTCTCGTCAGATGACTGCGTAGGTAGATAGATGGTGAGTTCATTTGTTCGGTTAATGTTTAAGCTCTTACACCCACTTCGAAATTATCTAAATATGGTCAATTTAGAAGTAAACATACTAAAATGCACCAACACCATGAAGTTGAATGCTTGCAAACCTACTACAGCCTGTTAATGTTCCTTCAGTACTGCGACTGAATCTGACTGTGGGATTACCACTCAATTATCATACATTCACACCTCTGAGACGGTTGTTACCTTTATCCATCATCATAACAGGGACTTTAATAATAAAAATTGTTTATTCATCTGTAACCAATCCACCACTATGATGTCCGACAATAGGGATGTATGAAAAAGGGAAGTCTTCGATTGCATGTGTTTATATAAAAATGTGTGTGTAGTAGAAATGAGTAAGACAAGTCAAATAAAACTCGCCAATATTGCTTCACTGTAGCTGCATGTAGTCCTGTTAGGGGAGGATGCTGACAAAATCCAGCAGAGTCTTCTGAACACCTTGAACTGAGCAGGAGCCTTCGTATGTTTGGCATGCGATTCGCCTGCTCCTGTGAAATGTAAGATGCTTCTACAGGACTGGACTACATCAACTCCTGGCTTAGTGATAGAGATTGAAGTGATAGAACATGTTAACCACTTCACCTATTTGGGAAGTTGTATCAGCACCGACGGACTGACGGATTGTCGACGAAATCTCACCACGGATCCAAAGAGCTCGAGATGCTTTCGCCAACTTACACCATCTCTGACGTAGGTGTGACATCCGACTATCAACCAAGGGACATGTGTACTTCATGGATTTATTCCCCTTGATGAATTTGAATAAAGCGAGAACAACAGTGGTTTGTGCGGAATAACATGGTACCATCATTTTTGTCGGCTTCTCATCATCTGCTTACAGCCTAAATAAATTTTGAGGTTTAAGTACAGTAACGTTTTAACATACTTGCAAATTTTACATGATGTCAGTTGACAGAAAGTTCCACAATTAGTAGACAGTGCTCAGAAAATTGCGCTTATATAGTTTTTATATGGGCAGTTCAAGTTAAAACAAAATAAATGTATGCATATAATGGTAAGAGAGTTACATAATAAAGATGAGATGTGCGTTAGATGCATAGTGACTGGTAAGTTAGGTAACAATGCACTGAGTTGAACTCCAATCATGGAAACAAGAGACAAGCAAAATTACAGATTATAAAAGGAGGGTGAGGTTAATGACAAAGATTACGTAACCAGATGAGGGAAAAAAAGACATCCAGTTACCAAGGTAAGGAAAGACTAATAACTGCTTCTTTCTGAACACATAAATCTGGTTTCAAGCGTTTGATAGAAATTGCTTCGGCAAACTTGAGGAGAATGGAGCTCCTTTGTCTATTGATAATTTTGAAGGATTTCTCGATTTGCACCTCATGACCTGTGTCGAGGAGATGTCTGGTAATAGCGCTGCTATACGAGTTTGTTCCCTTGAGACGTAGGCTTTTCAGCACATGTTCAGAAAATCGGAGGTTTGCCCTTCTTTCTGTTCTCCCAATGTAACTGCTCCCGCAGATACGCGGTAATTTGTATACACAGTTGGAGTTAACATGAGAAGGGCATCTATCGACTTTTGACCGCACCAAAGAGCATGTTGTTCGATGGACGGGAACTAACTTAGCTGCAGGATAGGCTCTGGCTAGTGACGTCCTCAGTCTTCTGTTGACCATTTCTGCAATATCTTCACCTTTAAAATCTAGTTGAATGAAGACAGGCTTTTTTTTCAACTGTGATTTATTTGGTATTTGAGCCTTCACATCTTCCATATTTGTTAATGAATCTTTGAGGATAGCCGTTGCGTTTCAACACGTTTTCCAGACTCGTAAATTCTTCCTCTAGTTTCTCTGCAGAGCATATTCTCCTCGCTCTATAGTACAGAGTCTTGACTAGTGCTCTTTTATAGCTATCCGTGTGGGCTTTCGGTAGATTGACCTCTGGAGACTACCATCTTCTAGGCGTTTCATGGCGACGTCAAGGAAATGGAACTGCCCTTCATTTTCATGTTCCATAGTAAATACAATATTTGTATGTGCGTTAAATAGTCTGAGAAGGTAGGAGGTATGACTTTCGTTGTTGCATACTACAAATGTGTCATCGACATATCGACAATAGGAAGTTGTTTGATCAGTTGCATGCTTCAGCTTTGTTTTTTCAAGGTTTGACATAAGGATATATGCTAAAACAGGGCTAAGTGGACTGCCCATAGCTACACCATCTATTTGTCGGTAAAGAGTGTTGTCAAACTGGAATTGTACACCCATGGTACACATTAGCAATAGGCGTTTGAATTCCGGCTCTGGTAGTGGGAGATCAGAGTGCTGACAAATGATATCAATGGTTTCATTGATTGGGATCATTGTGAAGAAAGAGGTTGCATCAAATGAAGCCATGAACTTACTTGAAACGTTCATGTGATTCACTTTTTCGGCAAAATGAAATGAGTCTTTTATGGTATGCGCGGCTAGCCTTTGGCGAATGGGTTGCAACTTCTCCGCCAGCCAACGGGCAACCTTATGTTAAGGAGAGTTGATCATCGAAAGTATAGGTCTCAGAGGCACTTCTTTCTTGTGTCTTTGGAAGGCCATACG